AACAAATATTTCCAATTTAATTGCAGAAAAACAGCTTAGAAAATATCATTTACATCCCAGACTTGTGTAAAAGACTCTATTGAAATAGATGCAGAAAATGAGGGAAAAGTGATCGAATGAGGAAGTCAACAGCAGGGTTAATAGTGCGTGACTCGCTGGTGTCTGCGTCCCCTGAGCAGCTCCTGGCTGAGCGTGCTCCCTCCGCCACGCCGTAACAGAAAACACCACGTCACGCTGCCTAGCAACAGTGATGTAATGGCAGGCCGAGCCAGCCTTGGGTAGCCTTCTCATAATCAGGGAACCTTTCTCCACAGAGAAACGGCTGCCTGCAGAACTGCTGTGTCATGTTTCGCGGAGCGCCGGCATCTTCCGGCACATTAATTGACCAATAAGGGTCGTCTCTGCCATTTGTGACGTTAGTGGGAGCCGTACCTTAATGCAGAGGAGGGTGGCGGAGATGAATTCCTCTTCATGGTCTAAGTGATTCTCCTTATGCTTATACACTCTTACTTATACACCATTACTGTCAGGCAGGCTATTTTTGAAAAGTGCTTTCATTTTAGGACAGAGGTTAAGAATCTCCCTCTTTGTGAGTAATAAGTATTACACAAATCAGCTTTATTGTCATTGTGCTGAGTACAGGTACAGAGTACAGGTACAGAGTACAGGTACAGAGTACAGGTACAGGTACAAAGCATCTAACCAGGTGCAAATACATATAAACAAATGCAATAAATACAATAGATAATTATAGGTAAATGGGAAGTGTATCTTATTGTATGTTGTTATTGTATAGTGTATATTGTGTTCTGAGCACAATATTCATAAGGTAGACTGTAGCAGACAAGAAATACATGGAGAGAGATTGACCAGATGCAATGATAGAAGCGCAAACTGGAAATATATGCTAATACACATTGGAGATAAACAGATACTATAACTGGCATGTGAGAGGAGATAAATGACTGTGTTTGATATGTGTTTGGGAGAGATATCTGGGTGAAAGTGTGACAAAGGCTTGGCTGGGGTCCTCAAACCTGTGTGCGGGACAGCGGAAGCACACCAAGCCCCTTAGAGAGGTGAGCACTCACTGACAGACTTACACCTCGTTACCGTCTGGCTGACGCGTTAAAATGAGCTGCCCTCAGGAGATGGGGCTCAGCCAGCCTAGGATGGGTGTCAGGAGAGGTGCCCCCCGCACCCCCTCCCCCCCGGCACCATGCCGATGGGAAGCGCTGAGCTGGGAAGGGTGACTGTATAGTAAATATGTAATCATGCCTGAAAGCTAGTGGTTGGAGATTCCGTATTTTACTTCCTGGACTTTTTATGGCACTGGATGCCCTACTGGTGTGTGTGAGTGTGTGTCTGTGAGTGTGTGTGTCAGTCATCGTCATTTGCATTTTTCTCATTTCAGATCTTCCCTCACTTCGTTTCTGAAACCTTGTGGGGGGGGGGGGGGGCTCAGTCTGTACCTGGGCTCTGACCCCGCTGTCCCTTTGCAGGGATAAGGAGGAGGAAGGAAAAGCAGGCATGACGTGAGGCCTCTCACCGGGCCCAAAACGGGGCTAAATGAGGAAAACAGGCTCAAGCGCCCCCCCACCCCCCCATATGGATCCGCTCAGCACGGAGGCAGTTTTTCGGATCTTCCTGGGATGCATGTGGACAGCCGGATGCAAACGGGAGAGACGGGAGACAAAGGATGGGTGATGGTGTGCAGCATGCAGGAGTGAGGTGGAGGTTACGCTCCCAAGGGGGGGTGGGCTGGGGGTGGCAGATGTCTGCTCAGCATGGCTTCAGTGAATCTGTGGGGGAGGGAGGGCACTGACTCTGACACAAGCAGTGAGTACCTTCCTGGGTGAAGGCTTGGTGTGTGTGTGTGTGTGTGTGTGTGTGTGTGTGTGTGTGT